TATATAAAACTTCGTCTATACTCTAATAAAAAGTTTCCCAGACCAAAGAGGTCACCTTAATACCAAAAAAAAAAAAATTTAAAACATTAAAAAATATATATTATAATAATATATTTTTTAGTGCTAAACAGATTTGCTTAAAACTTAAAGTTATAATCTATTAGTAAATCTTTAAGTAATGCAAAAATTTCTATAATTTTATTAGTAAAAATATAGAAAATTCTTAATCGCTCAATATTTTACTAACAAATTATAACTTTAAGCTCTAAGTAAACCTGTTTAGCACTAAAAAATACATCATTTCAGTATATATTTCTTTAATAGTTTAATTTTTTTAAATAAAAATTAGTAAAATTGGTAAATTTTTATCAAAAATATAATTTTATACATTTTCACTTTACAAATTAAAAAAAGTAAAGAAAACATATACAGTCATACTTCTCTATAGTTACCTTCTATATAATCACAACTTCTATATAATCATATAAAATTTTGAAACAATTTATTAATAGCCTTATTGAAAAATATCTTTATATAAGCACATCATAGTTATAATCACATATTTGTATAAAACAAACTGAGTAATTGTAGAGGAGGATGACTGTACCGTAGTTTTTATATTCTAAGTAAACTTGTTTAGCACTAAAAATAATTATTATGATATAAGTTTTCTTTACTTTTTTTAATTTGTAAAATGAAGATATGTAAAATTACATTTTTAATAAAAATTTACCAAAGGTTTGGGCCCTATAGCTTATTTGTTAAATTGCCAAACCCTTATAGTAGTTAAGTCAAGATTCATGGTTCAAGTTGGGCTGGAGGCAAAAAATACTCTATAATCTAAAAGAGCCAAAATTGAACACAGAGCCCCGTGGAAGTCCAAAAGTAAAGTACAAATCTAGAATAGGAATTTTTGAAAAAAGACCTAGCTATAGAGAGTTAGCGTTACATGCGATAGTCGACATTGCAGAAGGTTTTGGGGCAAATAGGTTGTGCATATAAATCCACAATTGGTAAGGTAGCACCAACAACCCCTAGGTGGTTTGGGGATCTTGATTGGAAGAGTAATACTAATGCAACAAAACTGGAATAATAGATAATGTAGTGAATATAGTAAAGATCTGTAATAAAGGATTGGCCTAACTAGGTTTGAAACATCTTTGGTGCTATACAAGATTGGAAGTTGTATTAGGTATCATGTCATACATTACTAACTTCAGTAATAGGTGCCATGCTGGTGCATTATAAATCAAGGTTCTAGGCCTCTTTGCAGTACCAAGCTGGAAGTAAAAATAATTGTCGATAGTACACCCACACTGTAGGGCTGGAAAGCCTCTAGCGATCATACTACAAACGATACCAACTATAGTAGCACTATAAAAAGCAAGTGGTACACTGCAGAATAACAACTGGAATTTTGATAAATCTAACCATGCCCATTTGGAAAGATTGTGGCTTGAGATACAGATCATGTTATAGCAGCACCCCAAAAGTTGGCTTAAGATACAAACACAATGGCAGCAGCACAACATGTGAGTAGTATTAAATCAAATATAAAGCTATGTACATCAATTTGGGAGCAACAAAAGCGAAAAACTGCCAGAATGAACCAAACTGGGAGGAAAAGAAAGTTGCTGCAGAAAGTGGATAGAAGGACAAGGTACCAAAAACAATATAGAAGATCTTGTATAGAAATAGGTAGGTTGTATGCCAGCTAAGAAGTTAATTGATGGGGTAATAATCGTTAGTTAGATTCTAAAAATAGCAAAGGTACAACTAAATTGCTTGGGTGGGTGTCATTAAGTAATTAGTGTAGCACAACTCATTCACTGTAAATGTATAATTATAATAAGTTCTAAGATCTTAATTAATAAAGATTTACAGCGTATAAGCAATTTTTAAAAAAAAAATTTTATTTAAAAAATTTAAAATATATGCCAAAATGATGTATTTTTTGGTGCTAAAAAAACTTATTTAGAGCTTAAAGTTATAATTCATTAGTAAAAATATGCGTAATGAAGAAATTTCTATATTTTTATTAATAAAAATATAAAAAATCCTATATTTCTCAAATAAAGTATAACTTTAGGTTCTAAGTAAACTTGTTTAGCGCAAAAAAATACATTATTTCGGCATGTATTTGTACCTTATAAAGTTCATTAGAGACTCAAAGTAATAATCAATTAGTAAATCGTAAACTTAAAATAATGTTCCCTAAATGCATAAATGAATACATAGCCTTATTTGGCCCAACTTATATGCAATACCTCTAAATGCATTTAGAGAGGTCTGACTGATTTGCATCTCTTAAAATAGCACAGTTTGAGATAACGTTTGTGTTTGAGTTCTACGGATTTAGTATCAAAATTTCTAAAAATTTAGTTCCTACCAATGCTAACTTTAAATCGGGCCAACCTTAGATCAACTTAGCTGAAAATTAACGATATAATGTAGTGATCAAAATAACGCGTTATTTCAAGAATTTATTATCAGCTTATTTGAATATATATTTATATACATATATATATTATATATAATTTTTTTTTTTTAAAAAAAAAAGAATCAAATATAAATTTATAATAAAATTTCAGTCCAAATAGTTACAGACTAAGATAGCATGTAGAATCATCTAGAATAACATTTTATATTAAAAAGTTATAAATTAATCTGAAACAACTCTATTCCAACCCCACTAATAGCTATCATCAATTTATCATTTTTATCATTTCCATCATTAAATCTTAAAACATCCATACAAGATGGATCGCAAACATCAATAAATTCCGATTTAATCAATTCAAATTTACTTTCTAAATTTTTAAACGTAATGTTCCATAAATTTAATCGCTGATCAATTGATGTACTAAGGATTGTCGAATCATCTATGATGTTTATACCTAATCAGAGGATAAAAAATATTAATATATAACAAAAAATAATAATCAATAAGTGTGAAGCTTATGCTGAAGATTTGACTATTTCAATATGAATTTTTAACTTTGGAGCCTTTTTGTTAGCTTTAGCATAAGCCAATTTCAGTATAAGTTATCACAATAAATAAATAAACACCTTGAATGGATGATCCATGTGCAAACTCCATTTTCAAAATATCATTTATACTTTGTTCCGCAGTCCATTTGCCACATTTCGTATCACTATTCGTTCCTTTAAATTCATGATATGTAAATTCCAAAATCATAGCAGCTATAGCATTATCTTCACCACCAGTTACAACCATATATAATTCTTTTACTAAGTTAGAAGTAGCAGAATTGATCAAATGCTGAAGTGCGAGACAATTTACTCCGGATTGGTGTGCTTGGTACGAGAAAATTGGCGTGCCTAGATCGTATGGAGTATGATGTGGGAAGTTTACTTCGGTGGCATATGAAACTAAATAGCTAATTTGAAAAAAAGTGAGAAAATAAATCAATAAGAGCAAAAGGAATTTATCTTAGGATATCTATAATTACCTGTGAATGTAACGCGAAATGTCCCATACAGCAATCCTATATTAATAAAATTCGAATTAAAATTATAATTATAAGTTGGTAAATTTTCAAAAAAAAAATTGCAATATACCTGCCATCGGTTGCTGACGTGAATAATAGTATGCCATCTTCGTTCATTGATTCTTTTGCTAAAAATAGATAAGTAAATTTTAAACAATTAAAATAATAATCCATTAAACGTAAGATGCAAGTATGCAATAAATTCTAAAATTATAACCTTTAATAATCACATTTTCTACTTGTAAAATGCATTTATTGTGAAATTTAGACGTTCCAATCAAAAAGAAATTTCTTTTCTTTTCGTCAAATAGCCAAATCTAAATTAAGTAAATTATATAATTTTAATAATAGATATTATTATTCAGTAACACTAAATCACACCACTGGTGTTCAACACCACATATATTTTTTAATAGTTTCGCTAGTAAAATTTAGGTTAGGGTACTGTTATAAGTTAAGGTAAGGGTTAGTATTAGAGGTAAAATTCAGATTAATCTAGGGTTTTTGGGGTGCTGAACATCTTTAAGAACACCTGGCATTAATCACTTAGCTAGCTTTTGAGTAATAGCAATTGTGGGGTGTGTGGCATGGAACTAAAATAGTCTATAGGCATGCCATTTATATGATATGTCTTGTTCTGGCTAAACTGATATTTGGACATTATGAAATATTCCGAGTAGAAAATCAAACAACATGAAATTATAAAACAAATATCCGAAATATGCCGAAAAATAGTTCAATTATATTATGGCATTCCTATAGTATGGCATGGCTTAAATTTTGGTTAATGGCATATGCCAAAATTTTTTGCCGTGTCACACACCCTAGGTTGAACACCACTGGTGTGATTTAGTAAAACCGTTATTATTTCGCAGGTCGAATTTTAAATTTCTATAACATTCTTTTTTGAGAGAGATCAGCAGTTGATATGTCACTATTAGAAGGATATCGGTTCTCGACATCAGAAATTTTGAAAACTGATTAAAATCATCAGATTTTAATCGATTATTATCATCACCGCCGATTACACGCGATAAATGATATGATAGAACTAATCGATTATAATCGATTTAATTTAATCGCTTTTAATCATAATCGACTATTATCGATTTTTATTTAAATCAATTATTATCATCCCCACCGATAATAATCGCTTAAAATTAATCGATTATAATCGATTAACTGCTTGCAACCGATTCTAATCAGGTTTTAAATTTTCCTGATGGATAGGATATCAGATATCCGATACTTATATCAAAAAGTATTGGATATTTTTGTTATGCCTATCAGAACTGATATCATTCCGATGGGTGAGAATACGCGACAAAAAATCAGTTAGCCGTCAGTTAGCTATTAGACATATTGGCATCCGATATTTTGCTGACCTCTCTCAGAAATGTTATAGAAATTTTAAAATTCGACCTGTGTTTAGAAAAAATGATGAACCTACCCTTAATACAGAATCAGAATATACAGCTGCAATAATATGATATTCATTATTTGTACTAATTGGACAAATACTTGTATCCATTATTCTGGTTTCTAGAACTTCGCTGAAGGTGCAAAATATAATTACAAATAAATACAAAGTTTAAAGCTTTTAATAAAATCCTGCCCTAAATTTAGAATAATGATTACCTGACTGCAGGACAAGATGCCCATTCTAGGCAATTTATATTGACAAAGGGTGTTTGTGCTATTAAATTTCAACAAACTTGTAGTTACAATAAACAAGACATTAAAAAGATGATGATTGTGAAAAAAACATACATGAAGTCTCTTTTTGATCATGTGAAGAGTTAATTTCAATTTTCCAACACGTCAGTTCTTCACTTGCACCACATGAGAATAATAATAGTTCATTACCTACAATATAAAAAAGAATTCACAATTATTTTACTAAATATCGCGAACAAAGGAATAAGCAATTAATACTTACCAAAACTCCATTCTATGTTCTTAATCACTGAACTATGTTTTTTAATACTGCACAAGCTAAACAAGTGATTTTCTTTCTCATCAGGTATATCTAATATAATGTTTTTATTTATGTATCAATTGCGATTTAAATGTATATGTCATAAGTTGATTAGAATTTGAAATAAACTCTAAATGAATTAAAGTTAGCCAATGTTATACGACTGTTATAAATCAACCAAATTTTAAGTCAACTTATAACATATATGCATTTTTGAAAGGTTTTGCATAGGCTTACACTGAAATAACCTTAACAAACTATCCTCAGCCCCAGTTGCAAATATAATTGAATCGCTTTTGAACAAATGGTAATTATGCGAAATTTTTGGAGGATACGCTTTTACAAATAAAGTTTATAAAATATTAAAAAAAAATTTTTTTAGCCGTAATTTTAAAATATAAAAAATAAGTTTACTTACGTAAAAATCTAACATTTCTACATTCTTTCCCGTGAAAATTTTCTTGCAATTTATATTCGTTAAATCCATCGTTTGTAGTCGTGGTTTCTCTTGAGTAAATAAATACCTTTTTATATATATATACATGAATCAAGAAATTTTATCGAAATGAAGAATTAAAAATTAAAAGTAAAAAGATTTTAACTACATTCTCCTTACGGATAAACATAAAACTAGCTTTATTCATCCGTTTATCTTGAGTTTTAAAATGCCAAACTCGATGGGCACCACCACACGCAATTGAAAGCATCTTTAATTATAAATATGTTAGTGAGTATAATGTGAATATGGTTATGAAGTGGAAATCTAAAATAAGAACCTCAAATTTTTTTGTATCATTATATACAAAAAATCGCTTCTTGAAAAATCCTAACAATATCAATTCATCATCTACAAACATTACCTTTTATACAATTATACATTAAGATCCAGAAATAATAATAAAAAAAAGACAAAGATAAAATAAATAATGAAATCAAATTTTAATAATAACCTTTTCTATCCACCCTTTAGTAATTTTTGCTCTATAAATTTCCTCCAATATTAGATCACATCCTGAAATTACTTGTTCTTCAAAGGGTATGATCTGAAATTAGCGTTTATAGAAAGTGATTCATCACTCACAACCTTTCCTAGTAAATAATCACCATTATAACAACTTTCCGTTATCTTAGAGCCGTCCTCAGAATTATTATAAAATTTACCAGTTATTGGCAAACTTCTCAACCTATATTTTACATACCCACCATCCCTTCCGGAAGTGTATATATTCAGTAAACCATCTCCGTTATTACTCTCTAAACTATCCAATTTTATTGCAACCGAAGTTACTGCTTGTTTTCTATGTGTATCCTTTAAATAAATAGCTGGTGACAATTCAATTGTGGACTTATCAAGTTTCCTATCTATAGTGTTATGTGCCATGCTAAATATTATTAACCCGCTTTCTCGTGATCCACATACTAGAAGGTTATAACGTGGACAGAATGCTAGAGACATAAGTAGGAAATTTTGTGGAACAAGTAGTTTATGGTATATTTCAAATTTAGGAATCTGAAATTTGATAGATTTGTTAGTAATTAAACTTTTCAAATTGTTACTACAATTAATTTAATTATATTACATTGTCACTTTTACAATTTAATTCCAGCTTAAGAATATATATATCATTATAAACTGCATGTGATATTACATAAATAATATCAGGATCTATAGAACCAAAATTTTAAATGATTATCTTTTTATCACATAAATTTGTAATAACTATAGAATAAAGCGTAAAATTCGAACCTGAAGATTCTTCAAAAAATATTTCAAACACCTTAAATTCATGCAATTTCTTCTTTATAGTCTTTTCGAAATTTATTTAATTATTTAATAGTGATTAACAAAATATTAAATTTATATTTAAAAATAAACAACGACTATCCCAGTACCTTAAATTCCTTATTTACACTAACAACATATACATGTCCATCAATACTCCCACAGCATACTATCCTTCCACATTTTGAAGCTTTCATCATTGTATAATTTTGTAAATTAGTCGAGTTGTTTAAAGATGTCCATTCATTAGTGATGTGATTATGTTTTAACAAGCATCTAAAAGAAATATATTTTATGCACTATAAATATTATAAGTCTTACTATAGCATAAATATAAAAAGACTAGGTCAATTAATAAAACTTACCCAAAATTTGTAGCAGTTACAATTGTACAATAATCTATAAGAACAAAATTACGAATGTGCTCTCTTGATGGCAAAGGAATTTGACTGCTTTCCTTTGCAAGTAAACATATTTAAAATATAAGAAAATGATCATAATGCAGATCAGAACACTACAAACATAGAACCTACATTTAATTGGATATAGGTATCAACAGATGGTAGTGTAACCTTAATTAAATCTTTTTCTGAATCTATACATAGATATAACCTTAGGTTAAATATTATAAAATTATATTTTTCAAATTTGACAACATAAACACCTATTTTATTATTTGTCACGGATGATAAAGACCACAAACGAATACCAGAATCTCCACCTCCCGTTGCCTGATTACGAAAATTTTGAGTTGTATATCAAATATATCTTAACTATATTATTTACATTACAACAATTTTGCTTACCACAATTGTTTTTGATGGATTAATCGCTAAGCTCCAAATATTTTTACCAACATGACCTTCCCAACATGCAAGACAGTCGACATCGCTTATGTCATCAACATTGACACTTCTGCTAATTCTGTTATGCCAAACACGGCATGTCGAATCCTAGTATTATTAATATTATGAAAATATTAAATGGATTAAAGAATATTCAAATGGGTGTTATGAATAAATACCTCAGAAATACTAATAAGATGGTCGTCTAATATAAGACAATCCCATACGCGTGCCATATGCCCATACAGAACTAAAGGTTTAAGACTATAAATAAAGATATTATAATTCAAATAAGATTTATGAACACAATATTTTGTCTAAAAAAAGAACATTAGATAATAAACACAATAAACAACTAAATTGCAGTTTACTTGTCGTCTGTAATCTTCCAAATACGGATAGTTCTATCATCGGATACTGATGCGATAACATTGCCATCGTCATTAAACCTCACACCAAAGACAGATCCCTTTAAATTCATATAAAGGTATAAATTAACAAGAGATTTCTGATATATCCCCACATCATACTTTTCAATCATATACCTCGTGGCCGATTAGTCTCTTAAAGACAATACCTCTACCCTCCTCATTTTTTTGTGCAATTTTCCATATAATCACTTGGCTAAAAGCTGTTCCTGATGCTAATATCAAGCTATCCCTTGTATTACCAAAAAATCTTGCTGAACATAATATACAAAGATCTTCACATTTAATTGAATAAACACAGCATATTTGTTGAACATTCCATATCTCCACAAAGTTGTGTGCAAATGCAACAGCTAATTCTGATGGATTATTTAATTTTTCGATTGAGAGATTGGATGTTGATTGATGCTATTAGTTATTTTGAGGATTGTTTGTTGATAAATAAAAACTTTTTTTAATTATTGTTGTTAATAAATGCTATATTAAAAAGCTTATATTAAGATAAATGAATAAATCAAATAATTTCTCATACAGAAGATATCTCTTGAATTATGGAGGTGTTAGAATCGTCATATAACCACCGTGCATCATGTATCCAATCTCTTAAAGGTGGTAACTTTGAGGCTATATTGAATGTACAACTTGGTTGTATTGCTCTATATTAAAAAGGTTTATTCTGAATTCAGATGACATTACCATAAAGTTATATTAAAGATAATTAATAACATACTTTTCTGAATCGTATTTAATAATGGCTTCAACAAGATGAATTGTCTTCGATCCATATATTGCCAACAATCTTTTTTCCTCCGTAATTATATTTGACAAATTTTGGCCATCTTTATATGTCTTTTCTATACTTTTAGCTGTAATTCAAAAAAAAAGAAAATTATAATTATTTTATCATCTTTTTCATCGATTTTATCTCGTAAATACCTGGTACAATTCTATGTATCCGCCAAAATTCCAAAACTAAACTACTAGCCAAAAGTTCTCCGGTTGGAATGAAAAAGGCTTTTAAATAAGGACCTTGGCCAGAAAACAGTATTGTATCGTTATGAAAATATAGACTTGTTACCGGACCGGCGTAAAAAAGTTTTTGGAACTTGATTTTGAAAAAAGACAAATTATTTATTTACATTGTTGACATAAAGTATTCATGAAAATATATTCATGAAAATACCTCTGGATTTTGTGTTTTCATTAGCTGTCGATGTACATAAGAAGAGATTTAAATAGCGATAGTAAATCGAGAAAATCCGATCTATTTAAGATTTTGTAAGATCAGCATTAGATCAGCATGCTGTGCCCGGTTTGTTGAATATCTACTTAAACATGGCCAATCAGATCATTGACTTAAAATTTTTATAATTTCTAACGATTATATATATTTATATATAGAGTTAAATAAAAAAAAAGTTATTGAATTTGGTTTAATAGATGTCGAGAAATCATTCGGTAAATCCTTAAGAGAAAAACTAAAATTTTCTCTTTTTAAACTTCGAACGAAGATTTCTTGACACCCATCTATCAAAATTCAATGAGCTTTTTTTTCTATGAATCTATATAATTAAAATGAATTTTTTTTTTACCGAATTTGTATGTATAGTTGTTGAAAGTTAAGAAAGAAATTTGCCGTAGTTTTTATTTTATAGATATTTAAACTTCGAACGGTGATTACTCGATGCTTACTGATCAAATTCGATCAGTTTAATTCTATAATTCATAGGATTAAAACTAACTATATAATTTAGGAGTTTGCTATTTACTACCACTGGTGATCATCGCTATATCTCAAAAACGTACTAAGTAAACGTGATCGGGTCCTCTAAGTAAAAATGTTCAGGACCCCCAAAAACCTAACGAGAACTGAGATCGGGCCCTATCGGGCCCTTATATTAGCTCTATAATATATTATATAAAATAATTTTCTAATTTCTATAGCATAGGAGAACAGGGGTGAACGTCCCGAGTGCCCCGAGTTTGTAGATCGTTACACAATTAATTAAAGATTTTTTTTTATAC